ACTCACTGCACGCGCCTAACACACGCCTATTCATCCAGTCTATAGGGCCTCCCTGGGTGTCCAACACAACACCCCCGGCCTCTTGCAGTACGAGTCCGGCGGCCGCCATATCCCACACGTGAATACCAAAGTGCCAGAAGGCGTCGGCACAGCCCTCGGCAATACAACAGAGCTGTAGTGCCGCCGAACCCATGTTCCGGAAGCCATGACACTGCCATCCGATGGCCTCTATGTTACGCAGGACTGCCCTCTGTTTCTCGGGATCCCTGTGCGCACCCAACTCACTGATTACCAGTGCGTCGCTTAGGGTCTGGCAGTTCCGGCGCACATGAATGGGCGCGCCGTTACACTTAGCGCCCGACCCTTTGCGTGCGGTATAGAGTTTGTCGAGGAATGGGTTGTAGACTACGCCGATCACTGGCTCCCTGTCCACCGACAGCGCTATGGACACACAGGTGTAGGGAAAGTTGTGTATGAAATTCATGGTGCCGTCGATGGGGTCTATGATCCACGTGGGCTCCGGTGTCAGTCCCCTCTCATCCCTACCCCTCGACTCTTCGCCAATGAATCGGTGTTTAGGGAAATGTGTCTTAAATTCACTGAATATATAGCTTTCGACTGATTTATCCGTTTCGGTCACCAAATCTACTTTTGACTCCTTTTCAGTGATTTGCTTTTTACGTCCCGACCCGCTCTTTATCATCGCACCGGCCTCTATGGCCACCCTCACTGCCATCTGTTCACACCGTAGTAACTCCTTGCTATCCATGTGTTTTGAGCTAGGTAATTATTCAATACTTATTGATTTCGTTAAATATTTAAAAGTTTAAATTAATTCTATACATACTTTTTGAATATGTGATACTTTTATGCAATACTTATTAATACAATTATTATGTGAATCCTGTGTTGTATTTGTAAATTAATTTGCAATTTATAAAGAGTATTTTGTTAATTTAGTTACTATGTTTACTACAATATTTATTTTCAAGCATTCACTGTTTTGATTTAAATGTCTGTTTAAAGGCATGCGCTTAAAACATGTTTTAACTTATCAATTGATAATCAAATTAATAATCTGTTACTAAATGGCATTGAAACACGTCTAACAAAACTACTATTACAATATATCAGTGTCTACTTTATAGTATACTTACATTGCAATTTAAACTAACTTATATAAAATATATTTGATATTATTTCAAAAATATTTAATATTAAGATACTAAAGATTTGAAAAATCTTAAATTATTTTTCAATGAAACACAAAATACTCAAGATATGAGCTTCAAAACTATTTTTTATTTAAACATTTTTCAATTGCATAAACAGTTATAATAAAAATTTTGTCAAATAAACTACATTTTAGATACAAATTAAATGTCAAAAAAACATTTCTGTAAAAACTTCTTAGTTGTTAAACAATAAAATCTATTAAAAAATATTATATTAATAAAAACAACAGTTTTTCTCTTATTTAGCGGTCAATCATTGTGCGTATGAGTCGTATCGGGACGGGTAGGTCTAACCATAATATACACGGGCGCCACCATATCCGTAAGCCAGGGGTGATCTATAGGCAACGGCTGGTGCGGCGTAACCACCATAATAGCCACCGTAGCCGACACGGGCCGCGCCATAGGGATAGCCGTATCCACCGCCATATCCCACGACGTACTGAGAGGTGACCACAGCTATGGCCACAGCGATGATAACGAGTGCGAGAATGGCTTTCATTGTAGGGTTTGGTTGAGTCGTTAGGTTTTTCACAACAAAAATGAAATTGTGTTTTGCAAACAAAACTGATTTATGAAGTTTTTAGGCAATGGATGAGCGCTTATATACAGGTGAGACACAAGGGTGAGTCCGGTGCTAAAGATAGTGAGTGAGTGAGTGAGTGAGTGAGTCAGGAGAGAGAGAGAGAGAGAGAGAGAGAGAGAGAGAGATTAAACCTATTATTTGATGACTTGAAGGACAAGGTGTTTGTGTGTCGGCTAACGGATTATTACAATGTATTTATAATATGTATAACTTTTCCTAACTTTTGATTAGCTTTTTGTGTGTTTCTATTCTTAACGCTAATCATGAAATATACATGAGATTACAGTGAATGCTATTTTTTACATCAAACAACACTTTCAAGTACAAGGTTTGGGATGTGCTCTCATCGCACGGGCATCTCATGCCTTATTTATCACGGCTGAGCTGATAATGAACCTTGTTTATAAACGCATGATTTCTCAAAATAATAAAATTACCCAAAGTTTCCGTAGATAATAGCAATCTTGAATTTATAATAAAAATTATATCAATAAACTATTGAAAGGTTGACAATAAAAATAAATTAATTATTTTGTTAATACCGTTAATTAAATTAGTTTTAAAAGCTTTTAGGTTTTAAATGTCAAAATAAAGCAATTAAAAACAAAATAATGTAATGTATGGCTGATATCCAATGTCTTTCTATTCTGAGAGTTCATTACTTTTTGAAAAGGATTTTTAAATACTATTTAATATAAAAATAATTTTAGTTTAAATAAAATGTGTCTGAAAAGTTGAGACGTTTTACGAATAATTGACAGACAATGCTATTATTGATTGACAACTGAATGACTGCATGAATATCATTGAGAATAAGAAAATATATTTTATTCAGGACTTAATTTAATCGGTGAAATGTTTGTACCGTATTACCAATCTCAATAATATATGAATGACTATTATACTCACTATAAATATACTATCAGAATTGAATTGAAAATAAATATTAGTAAATATGAGGGGAGAGAGAGAGAGAAGGAGTCAAAAGTAGATTTGGTGACCGAAACGGATAAATCAGTCGAAAGCTATATATTCAGTGAATTTAAGACACATTTCCCTAAACACCGATTCATTGGCGAAGAGTCGAGGGGTAGGGATGAGAGAGAGAGAGAGAGAGAGAGAGAGAGAGATTTTCTTATAAAAAGCGTAAAATATAAAATGAAAACTTGTTTATTGTGTTATTTTTTATTTTTAGGTCAAGTTTACCCCATATATACAGTATAACGTGAGGCTCAAAGTGTACACAACTATACTACAGTATTACTTTACTCGCTATCAATCACTGTATTGAATAGGAGGTGACATCAACTCACTGTAAAATAAGTTGTAAAACAAATACAATGTAAAACTTCATCATGAAAATTTTATCTAAAAATAACTAATTAATTATTCAGAATCTTTTTTGTACTTACTGTATAAAATAATCATTAATAATATTTAATATAAAATAAGTTAATAACGATATCAAAAATATTTTATTATAATAAAAAGAAAAATAATTATAAAATAATAAATTTTAAATTCAATTATTTTTATAAAAATGATATAATTATTTAGTAATACAGTATATAAATCGAATTAATTTAAAAATTAAACTAACTACCACTATGATTTTATACATGTTTATCATTAGCATCATTACTATCAACGGCACCGGTATCTAACGAAACGCTAGTCATAGGAATGACACGTTTATCATCCTTTTCGTTATGATCAGTGATGGGACTGTCATAAAACTGTTTGATATACCCGGACATAAAAATCAATCCCAGATCCATGAGCGAGCCTACCATCATGAATGCAATTGCTGCACCGTGCAAATAGTACCTGAACTTGTCCTGGTCATATATCCANCTTGTTTATAAACGCATGATTTCTCAAAATAATAAAATTACCCAAAGTTTCCGTAGATAATAGCAATCTTGAATTTATAATAAAAATTATATCAATAAACTATTGAAAGGTTGACAATAAAAATAAAGTAATTATTTTGTTCATACTGTTAATTAAATTAGTTTTAAAAGCTTTTAGGTTTTAAATGTCAAAATAAAGCAATTAAAAACAAAATATTGTAATGTATGGCTGATATCCTATGTCTTTCTATTCTGAGAGTTCATTACTTTTTTGAAAAGGATTTTAAAATACTATTTAATATAAAAATAATTTTAGTTTAAATTAAATGTGTCTGAAAAGTTGAGACGTTTTACGAATAATTGACAGACAATGCTATTATTGATTGACAACTGAATGACTGCATGAATATCATTGAGAATATGAAAATATATTTTATTCAGGACTTAATTTAATCGGTGAAATGTTTGTACCGTATTACCAATCTCAATAATATATGAATGACTATTATACTCACTATAAATATAATATACTATCAGAATTGAATTGAAAATAAATATTAGTAAATATGAGGAGAGAGAGAGAGAGAGAGAGAGAGAGAGAGATTATTTTCTTATAAAAAGCGTAAAATATAAAATAAAAACTTGTTTATTGTGTTATTTTTTAATTTTTAGGTCAAGTTTACCCCATATATACAGTATAACGTGAGGCTCAAAGTGTACACAACTATACTATTACTTTACTCGCTATCAATCACTGTATTGAATAGGAGGTGACATCAACTCACTATAAAATAAGTTGTAAAACAAATACAATGTAAAACTTCATCATGAAAATTTTATCTAAAAATAACTAATTAATTATTCAAAATCTTTTTTGTACTTACTGTATAAAATAATCATTAATAATATTTAATATAAAATAAGTTAATAACGATATCAAAAATATTTTATTATAATAAAAAGAAAAATAATTATAAAATAATAAATTTTAAATTCAATTATTTTTATAAAAATGATATAATTATTTAGTAATACAGTATATAAATCGAATTAATTTAAAAATTAAACTAACTACCACTATGATTTTATACATGTTTATCATTAGCATCATTACTATCAACGGCACCGGTATCTAACGAAACGCTAGTCATAGGAATGACACGTTTATCATCCTTTTCGTTATGATCAGTGATGGGACTGTCATAAAACTGTTTGATATACCCGGACATAAAAATCAATCCCAGATCCATGAGCGAGCCTACCATCATGAATGCAATTGCTGCACCGTGCAAATAGTACCTGAACTTGTCCTGGTCATATATCCAACAGTTACCTTGCTTACCACACTTACTCTCCCACACCAGACATGCCGAGTCCACAATTGCACCAAATATTAATGGATAGGGAATGAAACCTATTATAAAAATGATTTCATTTTGAAAATTAAATTATTTATTTTGAAACAGGGTATAATTATTGATTTTTAATTGTAATGAATATACTCTACCAAACAGTGCCATTAATGTAGAAGTGACTCCAAAGGCAAAGCTTTTATCATCATCATCAACACTCCTGTCAATTATAAATTGTAGTTTTATTACTGAAGGTTTTGTTTAAAAATTTAATTTATTTTCATATTAAGTTGGTAGCTCAATTACCGCATTGTAAGCAAAATATTGCCTGTCCACGCTGTCGATGATACTAGTGAGCCAATGGTTACCGCCAGCAAATAAGTGTATAGCTTATTGTCGCAGTGATTGACATCCTTTTCGCAGTACCCATTGGTAGCCATTCCTCCATAGTCTCCAATACACGAACAGCCAGATAATGTCTGTATTCATTTCAATATTTATATTAGACATGGAATTATACAAAATCATATATTTTTATATTAATGAATGTAGCTTGATTGGATGATTATTATTATTTGTACACATGTAAAATGAATTATCATTTCCATAGATATACTGTACAAAACATAAATTATAAGAGTGCATACATTATTATGTCTGTCCATTAGACTACAACCGGCAAAACATGGAGAGAAGTATGTGGTAGACTTGTCTGCTGAACAAGTAGGTGTGAACACCCGGGTAGTGCACCCGCATCCCTGGTTACACCCGACATTCATAGTAAATCTAAATATATTTTCAATAAAAATTGTAATAAATTTAACAGTATGAAAATGTAATAATTATTTAAATTTTTAATTCAAAACATACCCGTTATTATGAACAAGTGTCGGCGCCAACTGAATTGCCGGACACACCGTAAACATACCGGTGAACACACCGGCATTCGAGAATAGTTCCACTATAAACATATAGATGACCAGGGTACGGGGACGTGGCTTTATCCAGGTAATTAGCCCACCGCCTAACATACACCCTATGGCTAAAGGTAGAATAGATGTAGTTCCCGTCAATAGGTTGGCTCTGGCACTGGACACTCGGAAATGGGACTCAATATACTTTGGCTTATTCAGATAAAAACCTCCCGTTCCCATATATCTTAACGTACTGCCCACCAGATGTGTTATTAGAAATGGATTAGTAAATATACGTTTGAGTGCGGCTACCATTCCTACGATAAATGAAAATGATTTATTAAATACTCAGGTGAAATACAAAGTGAAATATATGACCTTTAAAACCTCGTTTATTTGGTTTAGTAGTGAATGAGGTTTTAATAGTCTTTTTAATTTGTTTGGGAAATAATAGCATCGGAAATGAGACAATGGATAAAGCGATGGCGATTACTACGAAGCCAATCCACCATGCACCAACAAATCGGGGGTCATTACGTGGTATACCTGGATCATCTACACAATAATAATAATAAATATATATGGTTGGCAAAATAATTATTTTAATTATATATAAATTAGTAGCAAATAAATGCTTACAAAAGGGATTCTCATAGAAACTCAAACATAGTGAGGATAGTATGAAACCCCCGGCCGGCCCTAATAGTCTCAACGACATCAATGCACTCATATAAACGGGTGAATTGTTTTTGCCGACAGATTCGTCGATATAGGGGACACCGATTATAAAAAAGGCGGTAAACCCCACGCCTCTCATGACACTACCGATCCATAGTAACACCACTGCCAGCCATACAGTCGAGTGTTTTCCCGATAAACAGTCGGTCCCGTCGTTACTATCCGCCGGACACAACTCATATCGAGTCTGATTTGAGGTTAATTTAGCGGACAGTAGGCTCTCATCGTGTAGTAGGTGTGTGGCCGACCCGTAGATAAAGTAGGGCAGAGCTGTGAGAAGACAGGACAGAGCTATAATCAGTTCACCCCCTGCTATCATACGGGGCCGGTTGTAACGACTAGCCAAATAGCCGGCGATCGGACTTAGCTTTTAAAATCATATAAAATTATTATCATTATTATGTAGTTTTACAGTAGTTTATAAAGTGTTTGTATAATTGTTTTTGTATTTACTTAAAATATTTAATTAGATTGAAAAGCTTTAGATAAAATTTAGTAGAAGTTAATAAGTATGATTTTAATTTATAACTAACTATTTGCTTGCATTTTTGTGACAACTAATCTAACATTGAAAACATTAATTGAATATTACAAACACAAACTAATTTGTTGTTAAATAAACTTTTAGTTTTAATATACACGAGAAAACAATTTATAATTTAAAAACTAAAGACTGACCAGAATTTGTGCGAAATTGTCGGCAATTATTATAAACCCCGATATCTTGGAGTCGAAGGCAAACCGCTTCTCCAGAGTACTCATGGATGCGATGAAATAAGTTGCGGTAAAGTTCTGTATTATACCGATCACTGCGAAATTGATGATAAAATAGGTGGGACTCACGAACACCTGTAGCCATTTGGGTCGCCACGAGCCCATACCACACGTGTTGAGGTACGGGTCATCATCATCAGCACTGTCCGACCTTTCCCTTTGATTATTAGTATTAAAATTTAATTTATTGCTATATATTTCATTACTATATACACGTTTATGATGTTTAGACATAATTAATAATATTTTATTTATATAATAAAATAAAATAAATAATTTTAATTAAAATAATTTTAATGATTTATTAATTTAGATAAGAAATTAAGAATGTTTTTTCATTTAATTGTATTGATAGTTAATAAATGAATTATGGTTTGATTATAAATTTCATTTTTAAAAAATAATTTTTGAAATCATATGGAAAATAAATAATAGATAAAGTGATCGATTAAATAGATTATGCCTAAATCATATAAACATAAGTTATTTCATAACTATACCAGTGATTGTAATGTTATAATTATCATTAATAATATCATTTATTTATTAGTTATACCAAATTGCAATTTGCAACTAACCAGCACTAACCCCACATTTCAAGGTTTACAATTGCTATCAATTCAGTTATACACACAAATGGGTCTGTGTTTTCATAGATAAGTTTATTAATATCAATTGTACACAATTTGTCAATTTTTATAAATTCTTGTTATTTTCATTTCACTTAGATTATGAAATATTACAGTTATATTCATAACGAATTATGGGATGTCCTTGTTACACTATTTATGCTTTCTGAATTACCGGTATACACATAGACATTTAACTAAAATCTAGGGGGGGGGTAGGTGGGGGCACAAAAATTAGGAACGCTTCACGATTTTGCGTGTCATCCTTGCGCAGGGGCCATGCTAATCTTCTCTGTATCGTTCCAATTTTAGTATATGTCCCGCCGACACGGGACATACACTTTACCTACCAGTCCCTTATGTACTGCCTAACAAACCACTATTTTCAGAGTTACAGTCTGTAACCTCATAGAACTCCACAGTGCAATGCAATAGAATATAGCAGTAAAGCATTTGGTTTTGGTATGCTATTGGTAACCTATGTGCTCTATATAATATAAACTTATTTAATTAAACTGTAAAATCAAGATAATTTATAAAATATCATATTGATTAATCAACTTGTTCCGTAGACATAATAGGTTACGATAATTAAACTAGTGTTGAGCACTACTCTAAATGTACTCTAAATATAAAGCTTTTATAAACGTATCAAGTGTGTGAATTTTTGTAATTATTTTGTAGGAATTTATTCAAATAATTCAATTTTAGTTTATACAAATTATTTTTTATTACAAAAAATGAAACATTTTATTGCATAATTAATTCATTAAAATTTTCAACTAAAAACTTTCCACTACCACACTATCATTATTATCAATAGCACCGGTAGTTACAGTTGTAGTCATAATTATATTATTTTCTTTACTAGTATTTGTGGGTTCATTACTATCATCAGCGATGGGGTCGTCATAAAAGTCTTTAATATATTTGGTCAGAAAAATCTTCCCGAAGTCTATGAGTGAGCCCACAGTCATGAACGCAACGGCAGTCCCGTGAAACCGATACCTGAACTTGTCCTGGTCATATATCCAACAGTTACCCCGCTTACCACACTTACTCTCCCACACTAAACACGCCGAGTCTGTGATCGCACCGAATATTATCGGATACGGCATGAAACCTATTATAAAATGTGTTAAAAATTATTTATGATTAAAATAAGTATGATACAATTATCATTACTAAAAATGTGTATAATGTACCAAAAAGGGCCATAAATGAGAGGGTGATGCCGTACGCAAGGCTCTTATCATCCTCATCCACACTCCTGAATATGAATTATCAGTAATAATACAAGAATTCAAATTAAAAGTATTTATATTTTAAAAATTAATACAGGAGTTACTCACCTAAGAGTGAATAACATACTACCCGTCCATGCGGTGGACGATATTATTTGTCCAATGGTTAATGCAATTAGGTATGGGTATAGTTTATGGTCGCAGTTATTAACATCCTTTTTGCAGTAACCAGTTGTAGGCATTCCTTCTAACTGTCTAATACATGAACACTCCGATAATGTCTAGAGTTTTAAAGATTTAGTAAAATAAAAAATTTAAATAAAATTTGAATTAATAAATAAAAATTTTACAATTAAAAGACTAAACTATTAAATAAAACTTTACAATTAAATGTTACAAAATTAGTTTTTAATTGTAACTAAATTTTAAATTATTAAATAAATTATAAACTGTAAATTAAACGTTACTAGGAATATATGCTTATTAAATAATGTTTGAATCTAATTTAAATTGTAACATGGTTTAATCATTTAAGACTTTCTACTATATTGACTACTATATTACTGTATTTACTATATATTAATTATTTTTGTATAAGTACAAATTAATATTGACTATTGACAAGGTCAATTTGACATACATTGTTATTTTTGTCCATTTGATGACATCCAGCAAAACATGGTGAGAAATATGTGGTGGACTGGTCTGCCGAACATACCGGTGTGAATACACTGGTAGTACAATCACAGGGCTGATTGCAACCCGTAGTCATTGAACTAAATAAACGTACAAGATAACAATTTGATTATTCTTGTAAATTAAAAAACATTTAAAATACACACCCATTTTGCAAAAGTGTAGGTCCCATGTGTAGGGACGGGCACGACATAAACATAGCAATGAACACACCTGCGGCCGAGAATAGCCCCACCAAAAAAATATAGGTGACCAGGGTGCGGGGTCGCGGTTTAAATCTGCTAATCATCGCGCCGCCTAACAAACACCCTATAGCCATCGGAAATATAGATGAGGTTCCCGTCAATAGGCTGGCACTGGAACTGGACACTCGGAAATGGGACTCAACGTACTTGGCCTTGAACATAAAGAACCCGGATGTTCCCATATATCGTAGCGTATCGCCCAACATATGTAGCATTAGGAATGGGTTACTGACCATACGTTTGAGGGCAGCTAACTTTCCTAACAATATAGACTTATTAATAAATTTATGGTTTATAGATATAATGGGTTTATTAATTGGTCCTAGTTACCTTTCATATTCTGTTTAGGTTTTTGTGTGATTTGTTTTGAATTATCCATGTTTTCAATTGTCTTCTTGAGTTCTTTAGGGAATAAAAACATAGGAAGTGTTGCGATGGTTAGCGTTGTACCCGTTATTAAAAATCCAATCCACCATGCTCCCACATAACGAGGGTCAGTGGGCTCTATACCTGGGTCATCTATTGTGAAAAATGTAAAATTTTTACAAACACCTTTCTAGTAAATTAATACAGATATTTATGAATTTCTAATTCAATTATTAACACAAATGAGCAGGGTAATACATACAAAAGGGATTTTCATAGTAACTCAAACATAGGGAGGACAGTAGGTATCCCAGGGCTGGTCCTATAAGTCTGACGGCCGAAAGGAAACTCATATAAAGTGGTGAACTATTTTTGCTGATGAAGTCGTCAATATATGGCAGTCCGACCACAAAATAGGCCGTAAATCCCACGCCTCTCGTAGCGCTACCAAAGATAAGGATCACAACTGCCACCCAATTAGTCGAGTACTTTCCCGTCAAACAGTCTGTCCCGTCGTTGTTATTTGCCGGACACAACTCATATCGGGTCTCATTGGCCGATAACGTAGTGGACAGTAGGCTGTCATCGTGTAGTAGGTGTGTGGCCGGCCCGTAGATAAAGTAGGGCAGAGCTAACAGGAAACAGGACAGGGCTATAACCAGTTCACCGGCTGCTATCATACGAGCCCTGTTGACACGTTTGCCGAAGTAGCCAACAATTGGACTTAACTGTTCAGCAAATAAAAGTAATTTATAATTAATTTTAAATCATTTAAAAAATAAAACAAAAAATATTCTCATCTCTATTCAGAATATTCTGCAGCTTTTATAGCCAATAGACTACTGACCAGAATGTCGGAGAAGTTATCGGCGATGAATATAAGACCCGATAATTTCGAGTCAAATGCGAACCTCTTCTCCAATGTGGCCATACATGTGATGTAATAGACGGCTGCCATGGACTGGACGACACCTATCAGTGAGAAGTTGATCACAAAATAGGTCGGAGTGGCGAACATCTGTAGCCATTTGGGTCGCCACGAGCCCATACCACAGGTGCTGGCGTACGGGTCATCATCAGCGCCTGACCCTTCAAACGCACTGTCCTTTTTACGATTATAATCATTTTTATCACTATTTACAGACTTATGAGGTTTAGACATAATTAATTAATTTTTAAAATTTATTTTTTAGTTGTTTTTTATAAAGGTTAGATGATTTCATTCATTTACTGAAATATATTGCTTAAAATATAAGCAAAAATTGTGTTGGAATTTTTCACTTAAAATAAATTTACAGATTAATGATTAGAAAGCATTTAGTTGGAAGTTTATTTTGAAATGATATCAAAATTAAATAATATTTATACAATAAATTGAGTTTTTCAATTAGATATGATTTAGCGCCGTTAGTGCATAGGACGTAATATTTCATCATTGATACACATGTTTTAAGTTTACAAACTACCAGTACATCTAGATATCAATGTCAGCAATGTCATGATTATCAATTAATTTGCACATACTTTGATCAAACATCACCATACATTATGTCAATAGAAATTAGATTGAATTGATTTGAATAAACAAGGAATCAATATAGCTTGTTAAATATGTCAACTTTTCTACGAGTTTTATATAATATTTGTTCAATTTATTCAATTATATTTTATTTATTTTGAATTATTTTACTTTAAAATATTAACAGCTTTATGTGGTTTAATAATAATATTGTATTGATTTTTCCATTTATGAATAAATCATTTGTTATAAATTATAATTTATAATAATAATTCATAAGTTAGTTTTATTACATTTATTTTATTAGTACCAGTATAATATATACACTATGTAATTGATATAGGATTATCAGTTATTTTTTATAAATAATTATTTAATTCTTATCAACAATTGATTTACTAATTAGTGCCAAAATTAATAACAGTAATAATTGTTTAAATTTAATTTACTGCAATTACAGTATTGTTTATATTATGAATGTCGTGTGCTTTATATCAAATTAAAAATTACACGATATCTCATTGCCATTAATGTTTCATTATATAATTATCATTAAATTAAAAATTGTCAAATATTTTAAAAATTATTATCTGTATGTAAAATTTACATTGTAAATGTCAAAAATTTAGTTTATTTAAACATTAGAGTGTATTTTGTTTAGAATATTATTTGCTGAACATACTTTTTTAAAATATTTAATAAATTGATTTATATATCTACAACATTTTCTTATGTTTATATGTATTATCTAGTTTGACATATAGTATTTGTATTATAATCATCTGATACAACACTATTATCAAGAATAACCATGCTGGTATTATTAATATCTTTACCATTTTTAATATCTTGTTCATCATTATCATCGGTGGGGTCGTCGTAAAAGTTTTTAATACTTTTAGCATTATAAATAATGCCCAAATCCATTAATGAGCCAACACATATGAATGCCAGTGCCGTGCCGTGTAGGTAGTACCTGAACTTATCCTGGTCATATATCCAACAGTTACCTGTCTTTCCACACTTCTCCTCCCATACCAAACACGTCGAGTCGACTACCGCTCCGAATATCAACGGATACGGAATGAAAGCTAACATAAAGTGAAACAATTGTTATTACTTTTACAGAAATGCATTCAAATATTAATTTTAAGAAATTTACAAATAAATAATTGTTAAATAAAATAAAGATTTTACAAAATGTTACCAAATAAGGCAAAAAACCCATTAATGAGTCCCATCGCAAAGTTCTTATCATTTGGATCAACAGCTCTGTTAAAAGTATTATAAATTTGATAATAGTATTATATCATGGTCCATTATAACAATAACATAGTATACGATCAGTGAACTATACATCCCATCGCAAAGTTCTTATCATTTGGATCAACAGCTCTGTTAAAAGTATAATATTATAAATTAGATAATAGTATAATATCATGGTCCATTATAACAATAACATAGTATATGATCAGTGAACTATACCTAAGGGTCAATAATGAGTTACCAGTCCTGGCGGTGGACGATATGATGGATGCGATTCCTATGACGAGTAAATACGGCAATAGTTTATCGCAATTATTTGTATCGCTCTGACAATAGCCGGTTGTGGCCACACCTCCAGTGTCCAGACATGAACACCCGGATAAAGTCTATCAGATCAACAAATATATAAATTAAATGTTTTAGTACATCTTATATATAGTCATACCCCGGATGTCCCGTTTAATTGACGACATCCAGCAAAACAGGGGGAGAAGTATGTGGTGGACTTGTCTGCCGAACATACCGGTGTGAATACACTGGTTGTACAATCACAACCCTGATTACAGTCCATTGTCATCGTAAATCTGAATATATTACACACAAAATTTTTAATTAAAATAATAAAAAACAATTTTAATATTCTTTACTTATTATTAACAGTAGGTATAGGAACCGGTAGTTTTAGTGGTGGACAACCGGTGAACATA